CTTCGTCGTCGTTATCAACTAGTCATAAATCTTTGACGTTAAACGAATTACACAAATACAAAGATTTAACTGATCTATTATCGAGCAACAATACGGGAAATAATTTTCTGAGCAACAGTGATAATAATAATAATAATAATAACAATAATAATAACAATTCGACTGTACCTTCTCATTTTATTACAAACAATGATTTTTCTCGTTTAAAATTGTATATAAGAACGCAGATATGGCCTATTGATCATCCCATTCGACGACAATTATGGATAAATATTCTAACATTAACCAGAGTCACAGGTAATTAACGAATTTCTAAGCGATGAAAGTGATGTACTAGTATGCTACGAGAATTACTCATGTTTGTCACTTTTTCAACTTGTTTTTGAGATATATGTCATTCTATTTCTTGTTCGTTTTAAGTAAAACAGCAATTTCATTCACAAAAGCGTACAATTTCTCAAAATTATTCGACATTAAATGCGATTACATCGGCATCAACAATAATGATGGATAATTTAACAACTATTGATCAATCAAATACGATATCAAAATGTTTAGCAATTGCTCATCAACGACTTCAACGAACTATGCCTCCACTTGTCGACATTTCAAATATATGTTTTTATTATTTAAATGATTTTGGCAAAACACAATTACAAAAACTCTTATTTACAATTTCATTACAAAATCCAGATTTAACCTATTGTCCTCTATTACAACCAATTGGATGTTTATTACTTCATTATTTATCCGAACACGAAGTATTCTATTTGCTAAATAGATTATTACAAAAAAACATCAACTACTATGTGAAATAAGATTACAACTTGAAGCATCTACTCGAGTATTTAAAAAATTATTTAAAATACACTATGTAAGTAAATAAACTCAAATTAAATAAATATAAAAATAAACTTTTTATAATTGAGAAATGTTTGTATTAAATTAACCTTTTTGTATGTTCTAGAAATCAGCATATGACGCTATTGAACATCAATATGAAAATTCTAAACAACAAATTTATCAAAATTGGATTTGGTGGATATTTCGATATTTACCATTTCCATATTTGGTATGCAATATAGTAACATATTCTAACTTCTTTTTCAAAGACAATTAGTTATTTTATCTTTTTGTCTACATGTTCTAGGTTAAAATAACAGACTGTTATTTTCTTGAAGGAACAAAAATTTTATACAGAATTGGAATGGCTATTCTGTACTTATACACAAAATGTATGTTTTATGAAGAAGACTTTGTTATTATTTGCATTTTATAGTTCTCTGCGTGTATTCTATGTCTGTCTATAGGTGTACTATGACAACAATATATTGCGCCATCC